CTATACAATACCCTGCGGCGGCAGCCCATGTACAAATCAGTGATCTAATCCTCCCAGATGAATCTTGTACCAATTCGGTTCCTGGAGCGCAGAAGGCTTGGTTGGCCTGACGGGAGTCAACCCGGGATTTCAACCGCGCGAGTGGTACGCGCGAGCTAGTACGCCTTCTTTAGCTCGCAATGAAATTATATCATTTAAATGCAGATTATCTTCTTGATGAAAAAAATCCCTATTTTCTAAAAATTCTTCCACTTTGATTTGCACATTAGGTTGTCCAGTAAAAAAGTAGTTCTGAAGATGCCAATAAAGGTCGGATAAAGCACACCCACACAACTCACTATTTAACAGGAACTAGTTTCAGGTTGTTTCATGAATAGAGATCCAGTGTGGGATGGGGCGAAAACTCTGACTTGAATATCAGTTAATCCACGAACGCTGTTTTATTGTCTCAGCACGCACTAGACTTCTCCACGCTGCGGGGGAAAAGTTCAATGTGTGGCGCTCCCCAAAAACCGCTGTCGATCACTCTACTTTTTTCTGAGATTTCACCTGCGGCATGAGTAGGGTTTTAAGCTTCAAGGAAGCTCATCTATCCGTTGTGTAACACTGGTTGACAAGTTACTGCTCCCACAACTTTGCATTCCCTCACATCACATGAACAGCCCTAGATCCATAAATCTTGGATCAGGGCAAATCCCACGGAGGGGCGGGGGAGCGGGTGAGGGAGGGGGCATTTTGTGAATCCTGTTAGGCATGCACTCCATTTCGCTGCGGATGAAGGGGACAGGCAGTATGAGTGTGCCACGGCGCCAAGCCCATTGTCTGCCATTTTCTGAAGTGAGTATGCGACAACAACTGGAAACGAGTGATGCGAACTATGATACAGTTTTGCCACTTGCTCGCTTCAGTAATGGTGGAGAACGGGTTTGGCACCGCGCCAAACTCAACATGTCCGACACTCCCCTTCGTCCGCACTACGCTATATACTGACAGGTTCACAAAATTACCCCTAGAGGAAAGGGATCACTTGGACTTATAGCGCGCACACCTCATGGACACTAATAGCTGAGAACTCTGTCCTCCTTTTACCAAGATGTTCGAAGTTTTCAGAAATTGAGTGGTCGCTCTTAGCAGTTATCCATCCTGTCAGGAATGGGCCGCGCACATGCATTCTTCTTCTCTGGCAGTTTTTGAATGCGATTTGGCCTACACAGTGAGCTACGGAGCCTTCCAATGCAGAATTCAACAGTAGCAGCTGTTTGCAGCCCCGGACTGTTACGGCAAATCCACCTGACAAGAACGGAAGGGAGACTAAAGCTGCGCAAGCGGAAGAAGACCAGGGTTCTGAAACCCGGAAGAAGTGCGTGTAAGCGGCGCAACTGGTCCCTACACCACCCTCTTCTTTCATGCAGTCAAACTAAATAAAGTGTTCCAACAATAAAACCTCAAAATGGACACTAACGGGGGTTCGAACAATAATTCGTAGATGTTCATTTCAGCACAAGGATTCATCGCGATCAGGACACGCGCTGCCGGGGAAAATTTTCAGAAAATACGATTCCCCTCAAACATCCTCTGCTCCCCCCTTCCCCATCCTCCAACTTTTCCCAGCCCCCTACCATATTTTCCGGAATTCTACCGAAAATGTGAGTAGCACTCGTAAAAAAGGAAAAACCGACTATCAAAAGAAGTTTTTCTCAGCCCAAAGACGATCCCCACCCCTTCATCCAGCGATCAAATATGACCCTCCACAGGGGATTCCCCAACGCAGTACGTGCCCTGATTACAACAATTCGTACTTGCATAAAACTGCCGATCCACAAAGTAAAAAAGCTGCCAGTTTCCCATTACCTACATTTTCCGCTATATATTTGTGCTATCCCACTGACCTTCATAAGTCCCTTTTTCCGTGTGAATGGATCGTCCTGTTGTCCCATATCGATCTCGACCCGATCGCCGAGGAAATGCTCCTTCATCTTGTTGCGATTGCGCTGATTTATCCAATTGATCGCGGATATGTCTGCGCATCGTTTTTTCTCCTGAAATGGTGGACCTTATTGGTGTCGGACTGTCATTAACTGAATTCGCTCGCATTCACGCACTCCACATACGTCCTGGATCGGGGCCTTTTTTTACAAAGCTTCTTAAAAGCGCATATGGAACACCTACGAAATGAGAATCGTAAAATCATCCAGCAATTGACGATATCGAATTGCACTTCGCACTGTCATCCAACAAGAATTTGTCGCTATCTTGAGCATGACTGAGAGAAACGACGACCCGTCGAAAACATCAAGAAAAAATGGCGACAATGCTGACAAGCGCCACTGCCGCACTTTAACCCACGGGGCGGAAATGCTGATAGATCAAAACAATTGCCTAAAACAAGTTTTGCAAGATGTGTAATGTCCTAACTGCGCATTACAACAAAAAACCCGACATTGTTCATTTGAACTTGCATCACAACAGTCTAAAGACCTCTAATCCCCATTCAGAGCCATTCCTTGTTACCACAACATGGGTGCAAAGTAAAAACCTATAAACAAGTTGGTAAACAATCTGGTCCTATCACGACTGTGTGCCCTGCACTACTGAACACAGCGTCCATTTCCAAGCTGAAAATTTAAGATCAGCGGCATTCGGGAAAAAAACTTTGTTGAGATTATAGGTTAAGCTCCTAGTAGAAAGAGAAGCCAGCCATCCGAGTAGGCGACGAGTGAGCCTTTCACCTTGCAGTGTGCTCTCGGGAAGAACCTGGTAAGGCCCTCATGGTCAGGAGGCCCGCCTACCACACGGGGTTCGCTTCCAAGTGTCAGCATCAGCCTTGGCAAGCAAAATACTCTCATCTAAAGACGCCCGCGTTCAAAAATAGTACGTCGTGCGACTCGAATACTAATAAAAGGAGGGTACATACCCTCTAGCCGCGCTTGTACGTGCATAGGGTGGATGGTCGGATGAGTTTTCACGTGTGGATATCAGCTCTATCACCTCACTATTACCATTTGAAATGAAGAGGTCTTGTAGCGGAACAACCGCACCATTAGGTAGCAGTCAAAAGTGAAATCTGGGCGTAGCCGTGGCCAGTGGGCCGTGGCCTCGTCGCGGGTCGCGCTTTACGTATTTCGAGCTTCGAATCGAATGAACGCGGCCGTTACTTCGAGAAATGCATGTCGTAAGTGCTGAAGCGGACGGTGGCTTGATGCCAGCGGTGGACTCATCCGAACGAACTCTCTCTTAACCGCCTATCGGTCCACGGCTGAGCGAAAGCATGGGCCCATTTTGCTGATTTGACAGCCTCCTTTCGTTTTTCCATCCTTGCCCACTTTTCGGCACTAACACTGTAATGTCAAACCGGCCCAAGTTATCGCGCCTTATGCGTTGAAAATATGTAGCGGACGGGAGACGGGCAAGAGAATCGTAATTGCCGCTTCGTCGCGCGCGGCATGGGCGCGACGTTTCCTCAGTTTGCACAACCCTGGAGCATCGGATTTCATGTAGACAAGGACATGGTAAACTTATGTGTATTTTTGGTCAGTTGACTCTTCTCATCCAATACCACCTAAAATCGACGACACTGACGGGCGCGACGTCGCATGCGGCGCGGCGAATTACAATTCTCTTGCCACATACTCGTAGCGGACAACAATGTGGGAAGTTTAAATGGATATGTGATCCTTAGAGGTGGTAAAGGTGAGCTATTTTGAGAAAGAATAAACTTTTACAAACAGAAAGAGACAAACCGCTCGCTCAGCCCTCGAATCAAGCTCCTCAAGCTCTTGCTGTAAACGTCGAACCGCTTCATGATCACCTGTTTGCTCAGCGATTTCCTAAAGCGTTCAATGAAAATGTTAGAAGTGCAAATTACGATCGCAGATAATTTACGAAATGGAAAGAGACTGAAGAAGAAACCAGAGCGGAATAGAACAAGAGCCAGTTTACCGACGGAAAAAGTCAAGATTTATGAGCTGACGACATGCAAACGAGCGGACGCAGCTCTGAACGCTCTTACTAGAACTTTTCTGGAAGTTTCTTTAGCAGAAAATTTATAGGTTTCACACCCCTTAACCGACATTTGATGGAAATGATCTTCTTTCCATTTGCAAACGAAAAACGCCAACAATTATTACACACACACTCTCACTGACATCTCACTCCCAACGTTCCCACAACGGTCGCCACCATCAGGTGCGCCTCTGTATGTCTCAACTGCCCGCTCAATTGGAACCGTACTACTTCGACAGTATTCTTGGCAAGTGTTCATCATGATGTATACACACCCCCCTTTTTACTACATACATTGTCATAACAGCGCGCTCAATGTTATCAATCGGCGCATACTTGATGAATCTTTTCGTTGCCTCCCCCTCCCACCTCCTGCTCCTTACAACATGATTAAAGGCACATTCCGCGATTATCCGATAACTAGAAACCTTTCCGCGTGACAACTGTAGACCCTGTCGCCATTTGAAAGTGCGAAATGGGCACTCTAATGGCTTGCAACTGGAGTTCAATGGCGTTATTTCATGCAGGCTCCTCATGTAGCGTCTTCATTAACTGTGCCGCATGGCCTTTTGCTTTTCTGGTCTCTCGCCCACGCATTCGAATTTTTCTTCGCTTCTCGCTTCCTATTTTCGTCCGACGCTCAAAATGAGATGCGATAACGAGGCATTTATTAGTAACCTCTCAATAATCTTTTGCTTTTTCCTTGGCGCTGAGTCAATCACCGCCTATATCTCCGTTTTTACGCCGCACTGCACTAGACTTGTAATCGCAGGATGTGCCATCAAACCAGCCAATCAATCAGTATGCACTGGCAAGATGAAAAGTAAAAAAGTCACCATGGAGGCAAATAAACGCAGTACTCTGCAGTTCTATGATCTCCCCGTTCATTACTGACCACTTCCGTACTACCGTTTCCCCTTGAAATGCCCTTAAATAAATAACCAGAAAAAAAAACGTCTCAAATATTTCCAATATATTCAGCATTTCAGCATTCATAATTGTTGGAACTGTTATCCACCGTGGAATAACTGAGCTGAATCAACAAATATTCCACCCATCTGTTAAATCAAGCTCATCAGTTGAACTGGACTAAGAACAATTCCTTGAAAGGATTTTTTTACTATGATGAAGCGTAAAGGATAGCGACCCCGCCCTGTGAGCGCGATGAGGGCTTCGAGCTTGGTTGGTCAAGAACTGTCCTTAGCCCAGCATTTTTGCGATAATATACAAAAATATTATAGCAACTGAGGAGATCTTCAAAGTCACATCTTCGCAATTTACACCACCAGGCTTCTGGGAGAGAGCGAAATTTTTTGGCTTGCGGTTACTGTGCAAAGCAGGGAGCTTGATGACAGCGGTAAATTAATCCAAACGCTCTCAACTGAGAGAGCGGTAACTGCGGTACCTTACACTCTACTACTGGCTCGACCGTTTGTGGTCAAATGAGGCCAGTGGGGAGAGGTTTTCGAAGGGATTACTTGCGTTTGCGTTGCGGTGACAGAACTTTTAAAAATTCTCTCTTTTTTGAGACAAAACTTCAGTTCTGGTGTAGCGATGAATTTGCTCTCGATTGAAAAAGGTCACCCAGTCGTCAGTTATCGAAAATAGCAGCGGAAAAAAATTGCCACAGGGGAAACTTTATCGAGGCAAGTACGATACTCCCCCTCCCACCCGTCCCTGATTTGTTTCGCACATGAATGATGTATGCTACCACCGGATGGAAAAAGCACAACGACAGGTTTCCAAATTTTAAAAAATAGATTTCTTGATTGCGTATTATGGTTTTGATAGCCTGTATCAAAATAATGGTTAACTATAAATATATATTCGAAAATTTTTAGAGGGGCTTTACTGAGGAATTAGTTCAATAAGAAAGAGAAATACACTTAGATAGAACTATTACAAGAGAGCAGTGGGTTTTCTCTCCCTCAGACAAATCATTGTTATCTTGAGAACCCCGAGACTAACCAGTGATGAGGGGTTACCCGCGCCCTTGCAAGGATGTTTACCAGTCTTAGTACATGCCAAATCCCAGTCAATTGCCACCACGGTTGTAAAGTGGAGTGAAATGCATGACGTGTTGAAAAAAGAGCCAAACAATGGCAATGCTAGATCACAGGTAAATTATGAGCTACCGAAAAGGGGAACAAAGCGGAATATCTCAATCAGCGGATCAAAAAAGGCGTAGGCCGATCTAGTAACCCTTTCTTTCTGCGAATGAATTATATGTCTTCTGCCCGAATTTCGTTGGAAATGTCACGTTCGGTAGGCTTTTTGCTTGAATTACCACGAAAGGCATCGATTTACCAATAATTCTGAAGAACGCCCGGTATTCATCGGGTGCTGCTGTAACAATACCTGAGAACAAATGATCACTCATTGCGCGTGTTTGCCAAAGCGTTTTCGCATCACCACGAGCCTCTCTACGAATGCCCGCGACATGCATTAGCATAGCTTTCTTGTCACCGATCGCAGAATTTGCTGTGGCATTTTTTCTCGTTGAGAAAATTTTTCCTACCAAACCCTGCCTTCAAACCTGCAATCTATAAAGTCTTCCAAAAAATAATTGAATGCTTATTTCATATTTTTTCTCAAGTTGATATTCTGCACTTTCAAAAGGAAAACTTCCAGAGCATTTGGCCCATCATAACTTAATCTTTCATCCGCAGTCTATATTACTGTTGCCGCCAAGACTCGATTCTTAGCGCTTCCACTTTCTTCTGACTATCTGAACGAATTTGAAAGCTACTCAATCATTACTCTCCAATTTCGCGTCTATCATTTTTCTCTAATTTGCAGCCGTTAAATTCTTCAAAGGTCACCATGTTCCAAACTTGTCCCATTTTCTTTTACACGAGCGGTGCTACGCAGAAGAGAGGTTTTGTATCGAGCGCTACAAATGCGTAGGGAACTTTTATGGGCTGTTTCACACACTATCTCGACGAGAAGGGAGGTGAGCAGTTCAAGTCTCCTGCCGCGTGATGACCCCCCCCGCGCAAATACGTTAGCTGTTGTCTTGCTTCGGCACTATTTCCGAGTTCAAGTCTGCCGCCGCGTGATGACCCCCCCCCGCGCAAATACGTTAGCTGTTGTCTTGCTTCGGCACTATTTCACTACTACTCTAGAAACTCGAAAAGAAAATTTCCCTGAAAGCTCGCTCACAGAACATATTTAGTGCCGTGATCACGAATATGATATTCAATTCCCTATCTGGCGCCTCACTGGCGTCACTACCTGTCTCACTTCAATCTATGGAAACTCGTGTACGGGGAGTTATTCGACATCCTGATCACCTATATTACGTTCATTCTTGGAGGCCGGCGCTGAAGTAGGGCTTTCTGATCACCTGCACTCTGGAAAGAGTGCAGGTGATCAGAAAGCCCTACTTCAGCTGATTCCGGAAAGGAAATCTCTCTTCCAAGCTCAGCCTTAGCAGAGCGCTAAATATGGTGTTGAAGAAAGAATGCCATATTCGTGATCAGATATCAATCGATTATGTGAGTTTTCATCGTTTTGGTGAACGCCCAAACAATGCAATCTGGCGCGAAATGGCGCTAGCGACACGAATGCCATATTCGCCATCAGAATGTCTGATAACCCCCGTAAACAAGTTTTCTTCGATTTTGGTAAAAAAAATGATGGCACCAAAAGCGAATGTCATATGCCTCACTCTTTTCTGTTTCACTGACTGTTTAATTTTTCAGCCTTCAGTTCCAGCTAGAGAAATTTTAAATAAGGCGGCTGTCCATCTGAGTGGGGATGGTGACTTTATAATAATCCGCGGATATACCGGTCGTTTTCCCAGAAGTCTTGCAAACTCCTGTAAAGCAATGGAACAGTTTTTAATTAGACTATAGTGGTACCTCCTCCGGAAATGAGCAAAACAAATAGTGAGGTGGTGAGGTGAGAAAAAAAAACAATTGGGGTTTCGAGTTAGACGAATTACGTATCGGAAAAAGTGAAATTTTAGCTTCGGAAACCTGATTCACGCAGGCTCTGCACCTCGCCGACCTGGTCCCATCTTCTCCGCATTTTGCTGCATAGACAGTTCAACACTCAAAAAAGTGGATAACATGAGCGCGCATTTGAAACCTGTACCAGTTACCTTCTGGGAGTTTACAAGGTTTGAAAAATTGGCCGCTTTGTTGACAAGAAATGACAAAATGCTCCCTCAGCTCCAACAACGGCATACATCCACGCGACCATGTAAATAATGCAGCTTATACCCCGCCCAGAGTTTATTCGAAATCTTCGAAAAATTCCCACATGACATAAGAAAACCTTAGAAACGCCTTCCTAGACAAATTGAAGAGTTGCTGTTGTTGAACCCTTAGAAGTTTCACAGATCATTATAATATTTTATGAAATGCTCAACAAATTGGTTATTTGAACATTTGAACTCCGCTACAAATCTGGAGCACTTAATCCGTTCTCCAAGCTGGCCATTTCATGGCTGAAGCCGTTTGGACGCGCTCATTTCCGGCCGCCGGCTTATCTGTGAAGTGCCTAGATCGCCAAAGTCACTGAAAACTTGTATACAGGAGTAATTAACATCCTGATTACGAATATGACATTCATTCTTGGCGCTGGCGCTAATGGAGGACACTACGATTATCTTCTGGGCTCAGCCTTAGCAGAGCGCAGATAATCGTAGTGTTCTCCATTAGCGCCAGCGCCAAGAATGAATGTCATATTCGTAATCAGGATGTTGAATTACCCTTGTATACAAGTTTTCTACGGATTGGTGATCTAGGCACTTCATAAATGAACCGGCAGCCGAAAGTGAACGCGTCCAAACGGCATCAGCCCTACTTCATCCTATTGCGGACCGCATACATCGGTGCAGCATGCGGCAATAAGGAAGATATCGCTTCGCACAATCAGGCGTCATCCAAAATCTTTCGCGTACTCGGGTTACCAACTTTTTCGTAGCAGGGAACGGCTCATATTATCTACAACTTGATGACCAGAACAAAAAAAATAAACAAAAATTCGGACGTTGTTGACTGTTGCTGATGAGGACAACCAAAAGGGAAGGGGCAATGAAGGAGTCTGCAAAGATTTCGGAGCGGTGCAGTCCAGTAGGCTTATATTATGACTCTTTGTACTTGAATTTATCCCTAGCCTTTTTTTTGTCATGTCTAAGATTCCACTAGATTTCAGCCTTTAATATCGATTGTTTAGGGCGCATCTTTCCGGTGGTTAAGCAGTTCCGCCACATGACAAATCAAGGAGCAGACACTGTGATTATCCAAAAAGAAGATGGCACAACCGAGACGCATTTGGTAAGAGATTTGCTTGAGATTTCCCTCAGATTCCAGGTATCATTCAAAGAGGTGCTCAAAGGACAGCAAGACTTTACTGTGCACATTTTAAAGCCACCATGACATGACAGCTAACTACTTCATGCAGAGTAGAGTACAGCACTGGTTTTCTTTTTGGAGAAAAAGCAACGTCTGAAGAGCTACGAGTCCCGTCATTCACATTACAACACACTTGGCCCAATACGTGAAGAACTACTCCATGGCCAGCTCTGCTCAGGAATTTAGCCGGCTACAAGCTTGTCCAGCTTCCCCTACAGCAATAAAGGCCATCTCAACGTCAATTAAGATGGTCGAAGCACCGGCCGGCTCCTCCTCCACGTGCGATCGTGGCGCTATAACCAGTTCCCGCCTCATCTACACCTATGTTTCCACTTCTGTGAGTTTCAGTCATGTCATACTACTGGCTCATGCACACAATGCCTAACCGGATATGTTTGGCGTATGGCGCTCGGTGGGATATGCCACTGGTCCAGCCATTAAATCGTGTTCGATCACCTCGTTGTCCGTTTGCAGAGTTGTCATGTGACTGACCAAGCGAGTAAAATCCCCACTTTTCTTACCCAGACAGATTACAACTTGGGCTTTCCGTTATTGATTCCAGGAACATGCACCAAGGCGTTTACTCGAGAGATAGAAAGTAAACGCCTCTCAACCCTATGACGCGGCAATAGATCGTTCGCGCTGGCGACGCCGTCGCCGTTGTGGGTTCAAGGGCATTCTCTCTATCCGTCTGACGGCCTCACTGGCACCGATTCACCTCCATTCAGCCGTATTCATATTCCGATAATCCTCATTCAGCATTTCCTCAGCTATTCCTGTCGCAGAGGCCTCCTGATTCTGCATTTCCTCTGCGACTGTTATTATTGCTGTCAGGAAGACTGGTTTATACAACAGATTGAATTCTTTGCTTTTCACCCACACCTTCATAAACAGTTGGCAATTTTCCCAGATGAATGAAGAATCTCTGAGTTCAATATTTACAACACTGACTTTTTACCGGGAACCAAATTTACCTATAAGCCTCACTATCCGATGAGCAAATACACGGAACTCCCTCCCACAGCTGACCCTTTTCTAAATCCTTTCGTAACTCCCTTGGCACTCTAAATTGGCTTTTTTACACACCAAAATGTGAACAACTCTCATGAAATGGAGTTTCGTGATTGATCGATTGCTGTAGTTCAACCGGAACCGGAACGTTCCAGTTTTATCCTGACTTAGCCGCATTTCATACCTCGTAAATCCCATCATTAGAACCCCTCATTTCGAGGGCTACAATTATGAATCATTTCTTTCCAAAGAAAATACTTTTCTGTAGTGCATTACGTTCTTAGCCTTCACACATGCGTGTCTGCTGTTGACAGCCACACCCTATGAGACGAGGTGGTGGCAGTGCGACGGAACACAACCTTACCACTTCTCGCCGCCAACAGCTATTTTCATCTAAAACGTCCTAGTTTGTGGGTCATGCCCCTAGACAGGCTTGTCCGGAACAGATTCAATCTCACATCTTACTGTGTCACCATGCTGTCATTGAGAACGTCATAAATCTTAGACAGTTCGATGCTGTATTTAATACTACCAGCCTTTTAATCATATTGATCGGTGGATGTTCAGATGTTGCGCTCAGAAGACGATAGCACGCATACGACGGTGGACCTTGGCCCTGCGAAAGAAATCCAGCACTCTGATGACTTTCCCAAACCAGCACAAGCTAGGTCAGTTTCATAGAGGATCTCTAAGTACCCATAAATGGGGACGAGTATTCGAATCGTTAGTTCGTTATCATCATCGAGTCGTTAGTTCGTTCTCATCATATCACTTGAATATAATCACCACATTATTATCAATCGATTCACATTATGCGCACATTATTCCAGCCCCATTCAAAAGGAAAAGAAAAAGCTTCAGTTCCATATGGCAAGCAAGATCCAAATCATCCCAGACAATCGACAAGGCCAACTCAACACTGGATTCCTGGCTACAATTCCTGGTGTCCTCAAGATCGCCGAAATCGTGGGTTTCTTTTTTTTCTCGGGAAGTTCCGCTGATCGATACCGGTCATGCGAAAAGTGCTAGTACAGGCGACGCGATTGATCACGTAACATTTGCTAAGCAGGCAATGTTTACCGCTCAGACGAGCAGATTTGTCACAAGCGGGAAAACAAGGCAAAGCGTAATGCAGCCAGGCGACAGCCCCGTTTAGCAACAACTTCATTCTCTCCGGAACGGAGTTAATTAAAGGCATAAGGGACGATAATTTTGTACTCGGACTAAAGTGGTAGAGTGGTACTATATAGTGGGAATACGGCGAAAAAGCGAATTGAAAGGGTCAAAAACCTGCAAAAAATGATTCTGTTTAACACTAGCCAGACGTCAATTTCGGACGAGTTTCCCGTTGGCATCGTGCCAATAACCGCTACGGTAGATACGGCTGCATGTATGTACTCATATATCCATGCAGCACCGCAGCCGCTTCATATCAATCCCTTCGCTTCATACTGTACTTCGCAAATGAAGCGATACGAGCATCAGCATCGGTCGGACATTTGTGGGCGGGACGCGGTGGGCGTCCGGGTCGGTATGTTGCAGCTTGATAGGAACGCTATAAGGGTACCTTTCTTGGAAAAGGCACCACTCAGCGTCTGCTCATAAGCACTGAAACCTGTCCTGCTATTCGTGTTAATTGTAGACGTCTTAGGGTTTATCGTGCCCATTGCCTTTAAGTACGATCAGCTTTCCTCCTTCAGTTTCTGGCCTTTGTCGCCTTCGTACTGGCCATATGTGCTGACAGACGATCAACAACCGCTGCATGGACGGAACATATCACTTTCGAGACCATGATCGTCGTTGCTGCTTTACTTGCCGGCTACGTTTGCTTCCCACACCTTACCATTCGCGAAGAACCCACACGGGAAGGACTGATTGTCTTGGTAAGTCTGCATACTCAGTTTTCCCCTTACAATTCTAATGGAACTTTCTTAAGGAACTGATTTTTTATGGAATCAACACACTCTTCTATTTCATTTCCATTTGGTTAATGGTTCACTTGTCGGCTAGCTGGGGTACCGACGGAAGAGGAGCGGCCATCATGACTGCGGTAGGGGTGACCCTTACGGCATAACTAGTCCGTCAGCTTAAATCCTCTCATTACAGATCATTTGCGTGGCGCTGACAATCATCTTTGCCATTGAAACTTTCCTGAAGTTGAAAGCATGGCGAGGAGAGAACGAACCAAGCAGCAAAGTGATAACCACCGGACCACAACCTGCTCAAGGCTGAACCATTCATGCTCCTTTCGACTCTAGTCAGATGCCAACCTTCTCGACGAGAAAATAAGAGAACTATTGCGATTCTGTTCAAAGAGAGAGCTAATATTCTTCGACGCTCTTGACGACCTATTAACCCGCTGTTCACTTATAAACAGGCCTCTTTCAGGTCGGCTTACTGACGCATTTTAATATTTCGTTATCTCATTGTGATGTGTCTATAACTCTTCGTTCAATAGCTGGGTAAAGAACCTATTTATATGCATTGTTGTCACCTTACAACATCACTGCAGTAGCGCGCAAGTGGACAACTGTTACAGGCTTTTATTGGTTCTTGGCATGCTCGAGTCGCATACCACATTTAAAGACAATTCCAGCGATTACATATGGTGGACAGCGCACGTCCTGTGTGCAATCCTTAGAGGGGGGGGGTCGTATTTGGCCGCTGCAGGGGGAAGGGGTCGTACCTAACCCGAAAAAAAATTTGTTTCTAATAGTTGGTTTTCTTGCGTCACTGGCGCTAATCACATCTTTGGGAGAATTTCAACGGGAGGAGGGGAAGGGGGTCGTATTTGGTCGCTGGAGGGGGAAGGGGTCGTACCTAACCCAAAAAAATTTGTTTCTAATAGTTGCTTTTTCTTGCGTCACTGGCGCTAATCACATCTTTGGGAGAATTCCAGCGGGAGGAGGGGAAGGGGGGGGAAGGGGGCGAAATCTTCCAGTGAGATAGGGGTCGTATTCGTTTGATTTCACAGAAATCTGGACTTCTCGCGGTTGCTTCCGTTTCACTGGTGCTTCTCCTCCCCCCAAGACGATAAAATTTTGGGCAAGAACTGGGAAATTTTAGCGAAGTTCCGGTAAAAGTGTCAAAGTGGTAGGAAGTTAAGAAAAGCTGGCAAGAGAGGCAAAACAGTAGGTAGGGAGAAGAAAGAAAAATCTGGAGAGAAACCCTAAGAAAGAACCTTGCAGGTTCTCTGTACTAGTTCTTCGAACCTGCTTGTTTCATCCCAACAGAGTGATATCCTGCCTCCTCTAGTTCCCTAATTGTTTCTTCGCGTCATCCAATGCTATTACCATCTAGCATTGGAAAGAAGGAAAACACGGTCATAAAACTCAGCTCGGGAAAGGGATCAGCCTTTCGGTTTAGGTGGACAGGACAACGATGGAGGCGTTGGAACTTTCACTTGAGTGAGACACAGCGCCTTTGTTACTTACTTTGAAGCCGCGAAAGTGGAGCAAGCCCAGAGTCTGAGGGACAGATTACTTGAACGAGGAAGGAGCCTACGATTTAGTTGTGCGCGGAGACTGTCTTTGGGGGAAAAGTGAGGAAAGCAATTTTTCAGTGCCATAAGCTCCCCAAAGTTCACAAAGACCCTAAAATTCTCACGTCGCGCTTGAGTGATTCATTATACGCTAATTACTCAAACAAGTTCTAGCGCAAGCACACTGAGGTGTGAGTGATTTTCAAAGGTATACTAAAGTTACGCACGAGGGTTAATTCGATCTAGAAACTCACAAAGACTAATTGCAACAGGTAAATATGGAGAAGAAAAAAAATTGAGGACAGACGGGGCATGCAGGTGTTGACCCTTTCGCGATGATCGTGGTCTTCGTAATATGTTTGGGTCCAATCGTTTTGTTAACAGTTTTCACCAATAATAATCTGATACATATAAGAGCCCAGATAGTTAGTTAGGTAGTTCGTAGATATCATAGCAACAATGACAGGGTTATAAGCGACAGGTTACAGTTGATCGCTGGGTACTTGCCTTGAGAAAGAAAATTTCCTAGCCAGAGAA